CAAAAATGCATACATTAATAAACTCCATTAAACTTTGAGCCCCTGGTGATAATTATTTCTCCATAAGGCCCACTCTGCTCTAATTCTACAGCCTGTTGTTTTTTCAGTACTAAAAACGTGTAGAATTTTTGGGCAACCTAGACAGGGAGAGAAAATGACTACTCTTAAGTTTAAAAAATATGAAGTTACATAATAATGATATTTTACAAAAACATATGAAGGACCTACAACATTTGCTACCAAACCTATTTACACTTTGAAAAATTGTTGTATGGAAAATGAAAGTATATTCTGTCAATAATGTTTAACTTTTTTTTACATGATACACATTTATTTACTGCAAGGTCTTTAAAGTAAAAACAATTTTTTTAAATAATTAATATTTTCAGTATGAAATGGATTAAAATTATGTTTTATTTTGATATCATTGAAAACCTTCAAAATAAACTCTGTACCTTCAAAAATTAAATATTTGGAATGAACTATAATTTCAGATAATATAATTAAACACTTTCAGATTTTATTAATATGTATGTGTGTTTTGTTATTTAAGTAGCTTAGCTTAAGCACATCACATCCACATACTAACCTTCCACAGCTATACAAATTAAATAACTATTCGCATAACAGCAACTTATAATACAATAAACGTACCTGCTTACGCATGTTGTTTCTCACCAGGTCAGAAAAACGCATCTTTTTTCCTGCTTCTAGTCCATGCTGTATTAGATGAAGCATGTGGACTGTTCTTTTATTTAGTATACGTTCTTCAAACTGTTCGTATGTTTCATCTGCTAGTTGTTCCTCAGGCTATGTTTGGATAAAAGAATTAATTTAAGTTACTCATTCAGATTATTTTACACACATTATCAATCATATTTGATATTATACATATATACAATAAGCTTTTACCTGATTAAAATGTAAACATTAATTTTTGTTAAATAATCTGGAGAGATATTCATGACCAGTGTTGGCTAGAACTATATTTTAAAAAAAAGCATAAATGTTTATCTGAATCATACATGATAATGGTTAACTGGCAATGTAATTTAATACAATAAAAGTTAACCTTGAAGATACACAAGTATGATAAAAAGTATATTGTTCTTTTAACTTTAAAGATATGAAACATACAGGTCCAACACTAGCTGGGGCAGCATAATCTTCTTCTTCTTCAGCTGTTTGTTCCTTATGATTCACCATAGTGGGTTGTACAAATTCCTCTTGTTGTGGTTCTTGTTCCTTTTCTAGTTCAGACCCCAATGGTTGCTGCTGCTGGATACAAGGTTCATCATGCAATGTGGTAGTTGCTGCTGCTAAAATATCAGTGGTCTGATGCCCTTCTAACACGGAAAGTGGGTGTCCCTCTAAAAGAGGAAGTGGGTGTCCCTCCATTGGATTAAGTAGTTGTCCATCTACGGAATGAAGTGGATGTCCATCTACGGAATGAAGTTGATGTCCATCTATGGGATGAAGTGGATGTCCCTCTACATGATGAAGTGGATGTCCCTCTACATGATGAAGTGGATGCCCCTCTACATGATGAAGTGGATGCCCCTCTACATGATGAAGTGGATGCCCCTCTACTTGTTGAAGCTGATGTCCCTCTACTTGATGAAGCTGATGTCCCTCTACTTGATGAAGTGGGTACCCTTCTATAGGACGAAGTGGATGTCCCTCTACAGGATGAAGTTGATGTCCTTCTACAGGAGGAAGTGGATGAAGTGATTCTGGTACCACTTGAGGAGGCAGCTATAAATAAACAAATGCAACAAAAAATGATAATCCAAATCTTAAGTCTTCTCATATCATATATTAACTATTATGCCATAAAACATTCTTCAAGTCTTAAGTCTTACAAATAAGTTATCTTTTACAATGTACTTTCATATGCTTTTGTTTTTATCAGTATTTTTTTGCATTATTTTTCTGCATGTTATCCACACAAACAGATATATATATAAACCTATGCAAGTTGATTCTTTTATGTTTTACAAATGCTTTTTTTTCTCACATTCATTAAACATATTTGGATATTTTACATATTTAATATTCTATGACTGACTTTTCCCATGTTAAAGAATAACCTGGAGAGTAATGTGTATAACTCTACCATTGCTGACTCCTGGACAGGCAAGGGAGGCAACTGTTCAGTTGTTACTGGTACTTCTGTGGAGATACCCATAGAGAGGTGTGGTGTGGACTGGTCTACAGGTGGCATAGGTTGTACTGGTATAGATGTTTCTAGTTGAGGCTGTTCTATCCTTGATAATTCTTCCGGAACCATCTCTCTCCTTCGTTTGTGTGGTGGCACTACATATGATTAATCACATAAAAACAAGTCTTTAATAAACTAGCTACAACACATTACTAAAACTGAAATGTTGAGAAATCAAACAAAATTTAGAACATATGTGTCCACCTTGTATATATCAGCTTTTGATGTAATAAAATGTAAGTCTCATGCCTTTTATGTTGCTTATTTTTTGAAAGAAATCATAATTTTATTGTCCAGTTACTAATGATTGTATTGCACCATACATTCAAAATATTCAACAAACATTCAATATCATTTTTCCCAAATAGCCTTTACAATACTAATACCGTCATTCTTTTTAATAACCGTATTTTTGAATAATTATTTTACAAAAAACATTAATGTTTCAACTTCAAAACCAGAAAAAACAAATACCTCTTAACCTGAAATTTAAAATGCTATAAAATATTAAAAAAAAAACACTTTAGTTATATTGAAGAATTTATTGTAAAATATATTTATTAATGACTTTGGATAATATAACTATAACCCTATTTCAGAGACAGAGTAGTAGGCTTCTAAATGGTACAATTCCTGCACATACATCACATAACTAAAAAATAACAACTGAAACTGCCTTAGGGCACAAGAAATTGTTAAAACTTAATAGCTTTTCCTATATTTGATTCTAATGTGTATGAACACACATTAATTTTTATTTTCACAAAGAATATTAATACAGATAGTGACACTGTTGATTAATAAATTCTTTTACTTGAAAAAAAATGCTTTTCTACTGCCTTCATAATGGAACAAACATACTGAATAGTATACATCGGTTAAAAACACTTTCATATATCAGCAAGAAAATACACATTCATTAACCCTATTGACACATGTCAAAAACCATGTCATCACATTTGTTGACTCGCATTCAAAATTTTATTGGACTACTATTTTATGAATTTATGTCAGTAAGTTTGGTATCAAGCTGTAGATTATAATTCAAATTTTAGTATTATACATTATACAATTTCTTAATTTAAAAGTAAATAATAAAAAACCCCTCTTAAACATCGATTTCTGTGAGTCACATGGTATGTTAAATGCAGCATTGGTTCAAATTAGATGTTTGTGATGTCAAAATACAAAGTCAATAGTTTCTTACGAATTAGGAACCCAAATTACCGAAATTGACAAGCTAGAATATAAAATAAGAACTTCCCATTTTTTCTATTTGCTGAGATATCGCTCATGTACTGAATCAAACACAGTGGCCCCGCCCACCTCTTTCCATTTTTTGGAAACACTTCCTGACGTACACTTACTTTTGTTAATGACATGTAGATAACCAATCGAAAGCTAAGAATGTCTCCCTAGTGGCTTTCTCAGGTTTTTTAGAATATTCTGATAGCAAACTCTTTATTTTTATACTACATTTGAAGCAATAATGTAAGTGTTTAGTGAACTTGAGATTTCATATTTTTCAGATCCAAATACAGCTTAATTACTATGCTTCATAAATTATACTGGAATTCTATGGTATTAATAAAGTAATTTATCATTTTTGTATATTTCAAATTGTATATATAAAACCTTAAAAAGTTATTTTGTTTCACATCCTCCACATGTGAAATTTGAAAAGGCTTAAAAACCTATGGCAAGCAGCAAATGAGTAAAAAGTTCATAACTAGAAGAGATAAATGTTTGCTATACTTCTTTAGTTACTGTTCTATTTTTTTAGAAAAACAAGTTTAAGAACTTATTTCTAAATATACATAGCGTGGTCACAGGTAAATAGACAC